ATTGGGACATGCCTTGAGGTCCTGACAATACCCAGACTCCTTTCCCCACTGATGTTCTGTTCCTATTGAACATTGAGCATGTCTTGTGCATTTTGTGGGAAGCATTAGCTTTTCACAGATTCCTTCAATGAAAGCCACTCAATGTATGCACAACGTGTAGCAGATGAAACCAGTTTCATTCTTCTTTTTGGACAGTTACCACCTTAGGAGAAAAGCTCTGTTCTGAATAATGGTATATAGTGCTGTTTGCTGGACCACCAGGGATGAGGAACCCGTGGCCATGCCAATATTATTGGAATCCAACTCCCATCAGTCCCAGTCAGTGTGACCAATGGCCAGGGACAATAGGAAATGTGCCCCAACAATGCCTAGACTAGAGGGCTAGAGATCTCTGATCCCATCCATGTTCATATCTTAGTCATCCAGAGCTCCTAGCAAAACACCATAGATTCAGATTTATCAGACTACCAAAGTACTATATCAACATACAGGGAGAGGTTTAGGTTATTAGCACAGTAGGCTATGGGAACTGAGCTTGCTCTCATATTAACTTACAGTGCTGAAGACACGACATTTGAATGAACAATCCCATTGTGTCAATGGGGTGTCAAACATATCACTGTGTAAAAATATACCAGTGATGTACATCAGGCTTGTTTGTTGCTACACTGTAGCCTTGGGAAGCATAGAGTATATTTTGTTTTAATAGCTTAGTACTGCTATAGGGTGTTAGACGTTGAACTGTCTGTTGGACCTCACCCACAAATTTCTCCCCCTCCTATAGGATTGTAAGAAGCCAAGGAAACGTTGCTTGGCTAACGTTTAATTCTACACCCGCCCATGATTAACAGTTGTGTTCTGTGTATGAAGAAGATACCATCTTAAGAGGAGCTAAAATATCAGCTTAATGATCATTTGGCAAAGTTTCCAGAGATCTGATAAGATTTTGTGGAAATTCAACACCAACTCCAATGCAGAATAAAATTAATTCCATACAAAAGGAATTTTACCAAAAACAAACAAACCATTATTTCTGCCTTCCCCCTTATAAAGTCATTTAGTCTTCAGTTTCTTACAGATCTGATTATTCTCCTCAGACTTAAGAAGTGAACAAATCAAACAATCCACTCAGATCTGCTGCTTTTAAAGATGTAAGACACAATGCCCCCCCAAATAGTATTGAGTTGGAAGAGAGAGGGAGAGCACACTCAGTTTACTGCTCAGTTTCAAGAGATAAAAGGATCCATGATGGAAGAAGAAGAAGAAGAAGAAGAAGAAGAGGAGGAGGAGGAGGAGTTTGGATTTGATATCCCGCTTTATCACTACCCGAAGGAGTCTCAAAGCAGCTAACATTCTCCTTTCCCTTCCTCCCCCACAACAAACACTCTGTGAGATGAGTGGGGCTGAGAGGCTTCTGAGAAGTGTGACTAGCCCAAGGTCACCCAGCAGCTGCATGTGGAGGAGCGGGGATGCGAACCCGGTTCACCAGATTATGACTCCACCGCTCTTAACCACTACACCATGCTGGCTCTCAGTGCAACAACCCTTTTAACTGTGGTAGTGAGGTGTAAAGGAGACACATCTCTAAAAGTCTGTGTAGAAAATGAGTTTTCAGCGGGTGTAGCTTGCAAGGCATACTTTGCCTGCTGAAATCTCCATGTCTATACAGCTATTCAGGAATAGACCAAGACATTTCACTGCCTGATATGTACATAGGACCTCTTCTCATGTACATTAAGCGTGCGGGTATGGAAGCCATGGTTGTTTAAAGTGATATCACAGTGCTTTAAATGTATAGTGTGAATGTGGCCTCAGAAGAAATTAATAAATGAAATCATTGATGATGATGATAGCTACATACAAAACCCAAGTGGACTTGTAGTTGCACCTTCAACACTGGTGATGGGAGAGGGTCCTTTTCTGCATTTGAAAGTAGCAGTATAGTTTAGCACTTAAAGGTAAAGGTAAAGGGACCCCTGACCATTAGGTCCAGTCATGACCGACTCTGGGGTTGCGGCGCTCATCTCGCTTTATTGGCCAAGGGAGCTGGCGTACAGCTTCCAGGTCATGTGGCCAGCATGACTAAGCCACTTCTGGTGAACCAGAGCAGTGCACAGAAACACCGTTTACCTTCCCGACGGAGCGGTTCCTATTCATCTACTTGCACTTTGATGTGCTTTCGAACTGCTAGGTTGACAGGAAGAGGGACTGAGCAACGGGAGCTCACCCCGTCACGGGGATTTGAACCGCAACAGCCGACCTTCTGATCGGCAAGTCCTAGGCTCTGTGGTTTAACCCACAGCTCCACCCGCGTCCCAGTTTAGCACTTACAACTCTGTTAATCAGCCGTTGTGATAGATCAGGGTTTCCCCAACTCGAGTCTCCAGCTGTTTTTGGACTACAACTCCCAGAATCCCTAACTAGTGAGACCAGTGGTCAGGGATGATGGGTATTGCAGTCAAAAAACAGCTGGAGACTTGAGTTTGGGGAACCCTGTGATAGATCGTGAAATTGGGTCTTCTGTAGCCAAAATACCTTCCAGAACACCAAGCAGAAGACAACTCTCATGTACTCAGGGTAGGTGGGGAACGGGGAAGGAGAAAATTATATTGCAGTCTATAGGGGTTAATTACACCCATCTGTCACCCAATTTCCACTTTGACATAGGTTTGCCATGTGACACAAACACCCAAAGTACATCCAAAAAACTACCGGAAGATTCAGGACACCCAAAAAAAAGTATGTCTTTACAGAGTGCATAGTTAAACTTTGGAATTCGCTCCCACAAGAAGTAGCGATGGCCACCAACTTGGATGACTTTAAAAGAGGACTAGCGAAATTCATGGAGTGTAAGGCCCTCCATGAATTCCTTTGAAGACCATTTGCTGGGCATTACAGGAGTGAAGAGGACTTCCCCACTTAGATTCTGCTTTGGGCTTCCCAAAGGCATCTGGTTCACCTTTGTAAGAACAGACGGCTAAACTCAATGGGTCCTTGGTCTGATCCAGGAGGGCTCTCCTTAAGTACAACATTAGTGATTGAGTAACCATCTGTTAGGAGCATTTATTTTTGGCTGCTCATTGGGCATATCTCCATTCAAAATCTAAACCAGTTCCAGATCTGTTTAACTCAAGCCTGCCAGCTAAGGAACTCTGGGACTATAGTTTTAGAATCAAAAGTCACTAATAAAAAAATTCAAAAGCCCTCAGAAAAAAGACAATTCCCAGGTTTCTTTGAAGGATCTATGCTAGGAATGTGGAATTTGTATTGCATTTTTAATATGCTTTCTTTTTTTTTATTTGGATGTGTAAACCACTTAGATGTTACTGTTGAAATACAAAATGGTATATAAGTTAAATTAAAAATGTCCCATGCTGATTGGGAAACACTGCCCTAACTGATTAAAAAAAGAAAAAGGCAGGTGAATAAGATGCACTGGCTGAATATTCCCAAGAAATTCTGAACCAGAAACTAAGGTCATAATTATTTCCTGGGTGGTTTCTTATGATATGTTTTGTACTCTGGTTCTGATAGCTAAATAAAACCAACCAACCAACCAACCAACCAACCAATGCACAATCACTTCAGTTATAAAGTGTGTTTACCTAATTTGTTGTTTCTTCTTCATCATACAGTGGTACCTCAGGTTAAGTACTTAATTTGTTCTGGAGGTCCGTTTTTAACCTGAAACTGTTCTTAACCTGAAGCACCACTTTAGCTAATGGGGCCTCCTGTTGCTGCTGCGCCGCCGGAGCCCGATTTCTGTTCTTATCCTGAAGCAAAGTTCTTAACCTGAAGCACTATTTCTGGGTTAGCGGAGTGTGTAACCTGAAGCGTATGTAACCTGAAACGTATGTAACCCGAGGTACCACTGTATTTGTACGTGAGAGGTAACCAATGTGATGCCCTCTAGAGATTGGGCTTCAGTGTGCATCAGTCCCAGCCTGCAAAGTCAGTGATCAGGGATAATGGGAGCTGTAGTCTATGAACATCTGGAAGACACCATTTTTGCTACACCTGTGATCAGCAGCAGCCCGAGAAGGACCAAGTCTCCACTTCTGAGTATTTTGAAGGGAAAAACCACAAATTACTTGCACTCTTCACGAATGAGCTATTTATATGTTCTCACCTATCAGAAGCAGGATCCAAAGAAGGGTGATCTAATGTGGATATGGGTTCTGTTCCAGCCTTGGAATTCCTGTGGGAACATTCAGCAAATCATCACATCCATTTGATGTATGTGTAGAACAGACCACAGATGACATACATTTCCAGTGCCTGTATTTAATCCAGAACATCTCCTAGTCAGATAATCAAATTCTGTCTTCCAAAGATTATATTGGGTATCAGAAGCTCATTTGCTACATTTTTATTGACATGCTTTTAACAGATATTTTTATTTTCTATGTGTCTGGCTACTGGTTGATACCTGGCATGACACCCTTGCTCCACTACAAAGTTCTGATATAGTAAAGCCATAATAACTAATTGTTTGAATACTATAAAGACCATGAATTTGGGGGTGAAGCATGAACAGAATTTCCCCCCTGGCTTTTAATTTTTTTCATTGTAGAAAAATGCAATTTAGTCATGTTCAAATGTTTTAACATTAAGCCAAGAAGGGGAAAGTATCAACATTTGTATTATTTGGCAGAGATGCACTTAATTATGAAGAATTCCACTTAAAATAGTGATAGCATTTTAATTTTATCAAAGCACACTAGGTGGAAAGCAGAGTTGTGTAATGAACACAGTATTCATTTTGTGAAACCAAAACATCAGGGGACTTCTGAATACTCTTAATGAACTTGTCTGTGTCCAACATTGTCCACAGTGACAGAGTGAAATATAATCTGATCACAAATATCCTGGTATGTGAAATCCACCAGTTATACCATGAGCGCCAGGCCAGTCTCTGAAGGAAAAGACATCCAATTAACTCTGAGATAAATGATGAAGACTAGGGAGCCATTTTAACAAACACACAAAATACTAAATCATAATCTAGATCATTTCCAGTTTATTGAGCATTATCCTAATTAGTTTGTAGGGAACTTATACGACACCAGCTATTTATAACACATGCATTCTGAAATGCTTGTGGGGAGGTTATACAAGGTTGCATCAAGCAATAGTTGTCCCCACACTTTCCAGTGCAGTTTCCCCATCACCACAAAAAGTCCTGTTCTTTCTCAAGCAGGTTTCGTTGCACAAGAGAGCCACTGTAACTGGATAGCCTGAATTTGCGGATATGCACTTGAATCCCACCTGCAAAAAAGTGAGAGTCTGGAAGCCACCTAAGACAATATAATATCAATAAAAAGAATATTGGGAGGCAAATTTCAACTGAGATAGATATATTGTCAGAAATACAAAGGAGTGCCTTTCTGGCATAGTTCCAGACTTTTACAAAGGCAACAATGGCATCTAATGCAAATTGTGAATGCCCTTACAGTTTGCCTTTACATTTCACTGGAGTCAAATAGAAAAGAGAGAAGCAACAAACACTACATTGAACCTGGATGGATATATTAAAGTTACAGACAATCCAGTTCAGCCAAAGTACTTGGAAGCACAAATACCACTTCACATGATATCTTATATGATCCAGAAATTAAACTCTACGTCGGGGGGAAAGTGTTCACCTTGGAACATGTGATGGAAGCATCTTTTCCTTCTTTGCGGGGGGGGGGGGCACATGAGTGTGGATTTGATGCCAAAGTGCCCCCTAGCACATGTACCAAAGATGGTGGCGGTGGGAGCAAGAAGCAATCCACCTATGTCTTCATTCATACATTACAACGTATTTGACTTTGCTTAGTGGTTAAAACCATATGGCTTGTGGATTGAGCAGACTGTGTGTGTGTGTGTGTGTGGTCGTTGCTCTCTCGGCCCCCACCTTCCTGAAAATTGGACAGCTTCCCCACCCCACCAGCATTTCAGTTCCTTGATGGAACAGATGACTATGTATGAAGGAGAGAAGGAAGATCATTAAAACATAATCGTTCATTTTTGTCAAAACAAAGATTACATCTGATCACTTTGTGGTAGTAAAAAACCCATCGCTGGGAGGAGGGGTGGGTGATTGGGGCGTTAATTAGAAAATGGAAAACGGAACTGTGAACAAATCTGGGCCAACTGACAGCCACCCAGCACTCTGGGGATCCACAAATTCCTCTGTATTCCGCTACACTCACATTATCCCCAAGAAGCCTTTCCTCAATAAGTGTCTTGCCTTCCTTCCCTTGCCGAGATGGAAAAGCAAGGAAATGGAAACAGGTGCATCGCAACCCGCATTCTGAAAGAGGGCGAGAGAGAGGCGCGGGAGGCATGGGCGTAGCCAAGGGTTTTTTTTGGGGGGCAGGACTTTGTTAAGAGAGGCAGGGCTTTTGTTAAGGGGGCCGAACCAACGTGTTTGGTCAGTTAGTTAAGTATTTTTATTGTTTTACATGATCTAGGGGGGCAGTTGCCCTCCTCTGCCCCCCCCGCTACGCCCGTGACTGGAAATGCCTTTGCCCCCCCAATCTGCTCATCTCCACTCTCTTCTTCCCACAGCCATTACAGCCCCTAAACTCAATCAAAAACCCTTTTCAGCTTCCCTTTAATGTTCCAAGCTACCTGCTAATTTCACATCCCGTAGCATTTTTCCTCTCTCTCCTTTTCTACATCGCCTGGATTTTATTCCGTGTCTTTCCAACTTTCGTCCAGTGCGCCCTTCCTTGCCTGGAACCGCACCCCCAGCTGGGCGGCGCCAGAGGGGAGAAGCCCCACAAACAAGGAGCTAATCCCCACTTCTCCCCCATTTCTGCACCTCTATAATTAAAAAGCTGCTATTTTCTTTTCTCACCCACCTAGAAATATACTTTGCCCATTCTGCGCAGACCCCTCAGAATATTTTTTTTTCTGGCTCCCTCCTTTGAAAACAAATGGCCCTGGGATCCCAACTCTCGGGAAGTAAGCGTGTCAGGTCACCCACCGGGGGTCCAAACGACCCCTTTCCCTTGTCAGTTGCCGCATCATCCCATCAGATCTCCTCTCCCGTCCAAAAGAAGCGGCAGAGGAGTCCTTCGTTGCAAGTCAGCCGTGATAACTGAAGAGTGCCAGTTATATGGCCTCGACGTGCGCCCGCTCCTTAGCTTCTCTAGAGAAGACCGACTCAGGAGCTGCCTTCAGCCTGAAGGAAATGTCTCCCTGCGTCTTCTCTCCCGCCTTCCAGCCTGCCTTGGGAGCGCGCAGCTATGGGCTTCTGAGTGCTCTCCATCCTTGCATGGACGGCGCCCCCGCCTCGCCCTAGCTGGTCCCGCGGCCCTCCAGCAGCTCGGTCATGAAAGAGATGTAGACGATAGCCAAGCGCAGCGTCTCGATCCTGGAGAGGCGCTTCTCGTAGGCGAAGGTGGGCACCTTCCGGCGCAGCTGGTCGAAGGCTTCGTTGAGGTTGAACATCCTCTTCCTCTCCCGCACGTTGGCCGCCTGGCGCTGGGTGTGCGTGATGAGGCGCTTGCGCTTGGGTCTGCCCAGGAAAGCGGCCCTCCTCAGCCCTCCATCTGGCCCCCGTTCTCTTTCCTCCTCCCCCTCCTCCCCCTCGTCTTCTTCTTCCACCTCGGGGTCTTCCTCACCCATGCGGAGCAGTCCTCCGGAGGCTGTAGAAGACCTTTGCCCAAAGGGAGCGCCGGATGGGAATGCGTAGAGATCCAAAGGGGCCGCCGCCAGTCGGGGAAGCCCTTCGGTGCTGAGATCGGCCAACAGGTCCAGCATGGATGGGGTCCCCAGCCTTCCTTCGTGGTGGTGGTGAGGGGGCCATTCGCTGGAGGTGGAGGATGTGCTGGGACTAGTGGTGGCGGAGGTCATAGTGACTTGAGCCGTCCTCTGACGCTTATAGCCCCGACGGGAAGGCGCTGCTGGTGGTGATGATGCTCGTGGTGGGCATTAATATTTATAACCCCGGAGGATCACCGGATTAAGGGCTTGGAGGAGGCTGGGCAAAGGGCGAGGCTGATGCGAAGCGACAGGCGAGGCTGTCGGAGACACAGGAGCCTTGCCAGAGTCGAGTTGCCGCCGGGGACGAAGCAGCCCTTGCCCCAGAGATGAGGCCGCCAGTTCCTTCTTGGCAACAGCCCCTCTCAGCCACCTGGGGAGAGACCCTTTTCATCCCCATCTGCAGCCGCGACCAAAGGATTTTCACTCTGGAAAGAGCCGGGGAGGGGTGGCGGAGGGAGGGACACTGGGCCTGTGGTGTGTGTGTGTGTGTGTGTGTGTGTATGTAGACCCAGGGAGGGGGGTGGGGAGAAGAAGCCTTTTCAATGGATGTCACAGACAAGCGCAGGGATGCTTTTAATGATGCCCTGAAGAGCGAACCTGCCTGCCAAGGGTCACGGGGGAATGTTTGCCCCGTATCCCAGCGCAATGGCAGATGAATGGGAAGGCCTCCATTAGCCTAAGTAAGCATAGTTGGGGACGTGGTGGTGAGGGGAGAGAGGGGGGGGGGAGGAGACCCTCCATTGCATTCCCAGTGGTAACTCTGGGACTCGTTCCTCAAACATCCCACCCCTCTCCTGGCATAAGTGTGCAAACAGCTCTCTGCTTAGCAGGGTTTATAAAGGCGGGGGGGGGGGGAGAGACACCCGAGAGAGTCTCCAGGGGTCTCCAAACAGTTTTTAGGTGCCTCTAAGCAGCAGTCTCGGCTGAAAAATTGAGACATAATAATAAATCATAATAGGCACTGCCCTCCGCTTGTTGGAGGCTACAGGGGACTATTATTCAGGGGCATCCATATTTCTTGTGAGGAAGCATTTTATTTGTTTGTAATGTATTTACACCTCATCCTTTCCCCCAAGGAGCTCACAGTAGTGGACGTGGTTCTGCCCCGCCCCATTTAATCCTGCGCAACAACCTTGTGAGGAAGGTTAGATTGAGAAACAGTGAATGGCTGAAGGACACCCAGGGAGGACCTGAACTCTGGTCTCCCAGGTCTTAGTCTGACTGTCTAACCATTACAGCATATTAACACGACTGCAGGAAATGCTCTAAAAAGACACTGGAGGGTTTCGATGATTTTTTTTTTTTTTTTGCATTTTCTCCTTCCTCATTTCGTTTTGCAAATATCTAGCAGTAAGTACCTTACGTGACTCTCCCTCCACACCTTCAATCTTTATAGCACTTATAATAGTCATGGCTTTTCCCAAATAAGCTTGGGAACAGTAATTTGCCAAGGGGGCTGAGAGTTGTTAGGTGACTCCTCACAGAGCTACATTCCCAGCGTCTTTAACAAACTACAGTTCCCAGTATTCTTTGGGGGGCGGCGGAGTGGAACCACCATGGTTAAAGTGCTATTAAGAGAGCTTTATATGTATGGGGTAGATGTGACCTCTGCGACCAACCCCTTCCGAAACTTGAAATAGCACCCCTGATGAGCTGTGAGCTTTTCATTTCCTATTCCAGAACAAAACATGGGCTTTATTGCTTTTAGCAGCGGCCGCGGAGTGCTGTGGTTATTAGCAAGCAAATACTAGTTTGTTGCCCTCCTACATCCCAGTACGTTCCCATGAAACGGGGCATTAGATCTTAAATGCGACACCAGCGAAAGCTTACTTCTCTGTCAGGTGCGCGCTCACCCTTCCAATACCACCTGGCTGCCGATGTCTAAACTGGCCTTCTGATTTTTTCTGCTCAATCCCTTCTTCAGCTGTAATGTTATTGCCTAACTCACCCAAAGGCTATTATTTGTTCCTCCTACTGCAGGTCCTTTGATTTAAACGAATGTTTTGGCTCTGCTTGAGCCCAGGACGAATGAAGATGACGACGACAACAACAACAACGACAATAATAACAATAACAGCCCTTCGCTTTGGAATATTTTCTTTCAACTATCCTCAAACAAAGAGCATCGCTTTTGTTTGACTCCAGGTCAGTAAACATTCCCCACCGAGCCCAAAAATCGACCCTGTTTGTTGCAGGCTGGGCAGCAGCTGCCGCGATTAAACCAGCCTTTGCAGCGGGGAAACGAGGGGAGAAAGATTAGTCCTCCTCGACTCCTTTTCAAGGCGAGGCAAACAGATCTGCTCTTCTTCGCTTCCCTTAACGTCTTGAAAATGAACAATCTGGTCCACCTCGGATGCAGGCAATCCCTGGAGAATGATATTACAGCTTAGCTCGGAGAGAACATCCTTCTGACGGAGACTGTGGATACAAAGGTCCTGCTAAGTACATTGGACAGCTCCCGGAACTCAGCGTCTTCCAAGGCGGATGCAACAGGTAAACAACATTTGCCTACCGCACAGTCGGGTTATCTTGCTCTCCTTCCCCACTTCTTCAAACGATTCCTTAATCATATAGACACAGACACGGTTAGTTTGTCCTTGGGCAACATCTTGTTAAGCTAGGTATAAACATGAATAATTTCATCAGAGAATTTCATCAGTTTACTACAGGATTTTTTTGTTTGTTTGAGGTGGCATTCGAGCTTGATTCTGCTTGTGAGAGTGTTAAGCGTTTCATCAAAAATAAATACATCTTAATGCCATTTATTTTGTATGATTAATTTCTAGTGATCAGTATTCTGACATTTTTGAGTACCATATATTGGGGCGGGATTAGACAGGTATCCAACAGAGTAAAACCAAGGCTTGTTAACAATTGTTGAATAACAATACAGTGGTACCTCAGGTTACAGACGCTTCAAGTTACAGAGTCCGCTAACCCAGAAATAGTACCTCAGGTTAAGAACTTTGCTTCAGGATGAGAACAGAAATTGTGTGGCGGCGGCGCAGCAGCAGCAGTGGGAGGCCCCATAAGCTAAAGTGGTACCTCAGGTTAAGAACAGTTTCAGGTTAAGAACGGACCTCCAGAATGAATTAAGTTCTTAATCCGAGGTACCACTGTAAAGAATTATAAATGTCTGGACTGCTTTATTTTAGGAAAAAGTGGAGCAATTGGTGATATTTTGTTTAAACTATCTCACATGTATTTGCTTTGGACCTCTTTAAATAAAAAATAATAATATTTTTTTACTCCTAAAAGCATAGAAGTGTAAACTGGCCTAACGGAATTTATGACTGTACACAATTATTTCTCAATATGTGTTTACTTGGCAACACTATAACAACAGGTTGTGATAAAGGAGTGGTTATAGAGCGTGTTAAGAGCTTCACTTTCACTGGAAACTTACTTTGATCAGAAGCAGTGACAAGTGATAAGGTTGTAAGGTTGAAATAGAGACCAGAGAAGCTGCCATTCACTATGGGTTAGTCACATTGTTCCTGAGGAACACAGAAAGTTGTTTGATACTAAAACAGACCATTGGTTCCCTCTATCAGTGTTGTTTGCATTGACCAGCAGTGACCCTACCCCTAAAAGGCAATCACTTTATCCCAAGCATTGGCTTTGTATGTGGGCCAAATAATGAGGTGAATCAAGGTGATTCAACTGTCTTCCCCCCCCTCTTGGGTAAAAGTACAATGTCATTACATACCAGTAAGAAGTAACTATTCTGAATGACAAAACAGTGGGGCAGTGCAACAAAAAGTAGGTTAATTAATTTCAGCCAAATGAATATGGGGGCCATATTGGGCAGGGGCTAAAAAGTGAAGTTTAGTGGTTTCCTGGTTATCAAACAGGCTTCCTAGACAGGTTCACCTGGCACCATCTTGAAGGCCAGGTGAATATCTTCTTGTTTATTCAGTCCCGTTGAATAACTTAAGTAGTCTGGGCACCCAGCCTTCCTGGGTGTCCATGGTTCAATTAAAGCCTAGCAGAAGACTTCATGAGTAGTGATTGCTATTCAGAGCTTGGAAATTTGGTGTCAACCATTTCCACTTGCATTTGCAAGAAGTTAATCCAGTTCTGACAACGAGTCAACATGTGAACAGCAGCAATTTCTGTCTCCCTTTCTGTTTCGAGCTGAATTCTACAACATCCCTAATCGCGATGTGAAGCAACTTCTTCCATGGGCCTTCCTCAAACCAGAAAGCTCAGGCAGCCAGGGAGGCTGTAGAGCGCTGGAAGAAAATGTCTGCTAGAAAGAAAATCACATAGACCACACACATCCCCCTTGGTCACTTTGCACTGGTAAATTAAGCTCAGAAGTCGCCACTCACTCACCCAAATTTCAAAGCAACTTTAATTTGGCAAAATAATGAAATGAAATAAATGGAAGCTTCTTTCAGAGAGGAAGAAAACTTCTGAGAAACTGGAGGCCAAGATTTTGGCACAGCACTCCTCTTCCCTGGTGTCCAGCAGATAAAGTCTTTCTGGTTGCATTAATCTTGCAGAGCAGACAGATGGGGAAATCTGTTGCAGAGGGCACCATAGATCATCCTTTTCGACATGAATAAGGTGCAGCATCGATCCATTCTGGTCTATCATGTTGCCACAATCATAACTGCATTAGCCCTTTGTAAACACTGGGGCTGTAGGCTGCGTCTCTAGCCGGTGCTTTCAAACTTGAGTGAGCAGGTGCAGGCCTGTCCACGGCTGAGACTCTCAGCGGACTCAACCTTGGAGTCTTGAGCAAAGGGCTTCATTTCACTGCTTCAGAGGCTGCAGATGCGACCTTGTCATTGCCATTTGTCACACATTTTTGGCTGCTCTTTTATCTTACTGTAGCCTCATCTCCCAGCCGGTTGCACTAGATGGAGAGCCCAGGAACAAAGCTCAGTGTCAATCTGCAATAAGCAGAGGTGAAGTCCCACAGGGAAAATCATACATGCATTTAAATACTCCGACAAGCTAACTCTTCTCAGCTGCGCAAGAGTTATGCTGTTTGGGAAAGCTGACAGTGTACTATTGCCAAAATTTCTGCTACATCCGTCTTGGCCTTATCTTTAGGTGGCTGTGCTAATTGTCATAAATCCAGAGAGAGAGAGAGAGAGAGAGAGAGAGAGAGAGAGAGAGAGAGAGAGAGAGAGAGAGAATGAAACACACAGGCACATTCAGTGCCTAAGTACTGAGCTGCTGTTTATTAGCAGCAATTAGATCTTAGGAACATTTAGCTGAGAAATGCTTCCCTCCCCTTTATTCAACACTGTGAATTTCACTTGTTTTGTGAAATTAATAAACTGGAAGCAAGGAAGCAAATAAAAATGTTAAGTACGTATAGATGCACATTCTGGGAAAAATGCATTTAATTTTCATATCTAATGTCACATAAATTAAAACTAAATTTAACCACCAAAGCTAAACTGCAAACAAAAC